CTAGGACTTTCGTATTTCCCATGGCATGAACATTACATACACACAATAGACAAAAAGCACACGCCCAAACATGATTCAATATCAGAGGATCGTACAAGGTTAGTTGTCTAAGGAAACAGCTGTCACCGAACGCACTTCCGGTTCGTGAAGTAACTTCACGCTTTTGCATGCATGTAGAGTAAGGTTGAAGTAGCCAACCAAATAATGGGATGTATTATTAAGCTCGCGGAGTTAGGTGCATAAAATGCGAACACGGTTGCAGCCGGCGACCTTTTCTCTCGGTTTAGTATATTTTTGTTCAATTTCGTAAAGTACGGATTCCTGCTCTGATGATGTGTGAGTACAGATGAAAGCTTAGCGCAGTTTAATCGGGGTCGCAGGATGGTGAGCCGAGGACTCCTCCGAACACTTTAACAGTCTTCTCTACGCGGCACTCCTTCGGTTTCCTGTTAGACCACACAGTTTAAATTAAGAAGAATAGCCATGGAGATAATGTCTGACATCTGCAATCATGAGAATCAGAGTTTAGATGCTCTGCTCAGTGAGGCTACAGTATACGTGTTCCTTAAGGCTTGATAAATAGCGCTTGGAGTGAGGCGCATATTTGGCATGGTACCAGGTTAAATCAGTCAACTAGAAGCATGTAAAACGGATGTACGAGGCGAAAAAGAGGTCATATCGCTTCTATAATAGTCTGATCCATTATCTACAATAATTTACATACCATTAGACATAATTAATAGTCTGGCATTTAAGTTCCGTATGAATAGTTAGGAATTAAAATTCTCATGCCTCGTTGATTTTAATCCACAGAATAAAATTATGCAAAGGTTATGCCCTTTCTTGATGCATGTTATGAGTAAAGTTGCAATCACCGTATCGAGTTTCGTGTTTGTTGCAAATTATTTAACTATGAAGTCGTATTCAACTAAATAACCCGATTTGATACAGCTTCCTTTTTTCCCCTAATCAAATGCACAGACTGGACTAATCGCTATGCCATTATTCCTATTATTTCATTTATGTTTGGGTAAATTATAAGTGAGTCACATATCACAATAAAACGACAAATTATTCCTCTACCAAGTTAATAACACCTCGAGTGGTTGATGGTTGCCTAAGACATATCTGGTTCTTCTAAGAAATACGAGTTTAACTTTTCAAAATTTGTATCTATCTCAACCACTTATCCTTTGTCAGCATGCGAAACTATATTTATATTTATGAACCATTAGGGTCTATATTTGACTTATTTACTTCTGATTTTATAGGTGCAGAAATATTTATCGGCTACAACAGGCACTGGTCAGCCTCACCGGATCTCACGAATCAGATTTAATCAGGGTCAAACAATTATACGAACTTTTCTATCTAACTCCAGAGGTATATCTATATATCTATGCCTATCTTTGTATCCTAAACAGCTAAACGTATAATTCTTAAAATTGAGCCGTCTTGTTGCCCGTGTCTAATATGTATATTTTCTTTTCAAGTCTCTCATAAACAGGCTTATGGAGCAGGGAGCGATGTTTGAGGAAAAGGTTTACAGCGATCTTTTACACTTATACCAACGAAGTCATCCAACCTACGATCATGTGAAGACTCGGGATTGTCTCAGGAAGCTTTCAGATGTGGTAGCTAGAACAAATAGATAAAATGAAAAAATTCAATGTGCCAACCATCCACACGCTAACTCCCTTATTCTAGAATCATTATCTTATATTTTAACTTTCATATTTTGTACCCAATAAAAGATAAAAGCGACTTCTCCTTACAAGATACATTTACACGAGTGTATATTCTAATGTGTATCAACAACATTGCATTAATCATTTACATAGTTTAACTAATAAAATTATGATGTATAAAGAATCAACTTTTAAATAAAATGT